ACACATCTGGTTAGGTACATTTGGGATAGCTTAATTATTATTTTTTTGTTTAGCCATTTCTATTTTGTTACGTAATTCAATCATCAATATAGTATACTAAAATGTTATATTGTATATACAAGTTGTGATTATTACCTGGTTATGTTTTTGTATGTACACACTACTTGTTTTGGTGTTTTTCCTTACAGTGAAATATAAACAAAAAAATATAATGGATACATAATTATATACTTGATCAGTATTACTAGATATCATGTACATTTTTATTTTTAAATTTATGTCTTTACTTCGGAATATTATATGTATAACATGTATGTCCGTACAGAAATCGAGTAACGACTGGTCCCCGATTAAAACCACTATCAGCAGAAAATTTTAAATAAAAATGTAACTTCTCACGGACAGCCTATAAACTTTCAACATTTATTATTACTTTCATTTCAGTTTTGTGAAGAAACAAATTTATTATTTATTTATTTATGTTCAATTTTGAAATATTTTAGTTCACTATTTAAACATGTATGCGTCGTCGCATTATCAGAACCACAGACCACATAGATACTTCCGTGATCACAACATTAAGAGCGGTTACATACCGCGACTATCAGCCGCGACGCGAACACAAATCGTCTACCTTTACACACACGCGCGATTTCAATCGATTACATCGCTACACTTAACATTTTAGGCGATTGCATCGATGCAATCGCACGTTTTGTATCGATGTAGTCGCGCATTTGCATGGATGCAATCGCCTATAAATCGCAAGTGTAGCGATGCAATGGCAAGTATAGCCTACGTCGCCGTGTGTAACCACTTTAACATTTGCACAATGTGATGACAATGACGTCATTACGTATGCATTATTCACATAGTTACGGCGCATTCCCACAACGGCATCTTGTTCATTAGGGATCGGTTCTTTTTGCATGATCCTGTTTGCAGAGAATGTGTATTTACACATTTATTTAGAATTGAAACACGTTCGTTACCAAACAGAATCCTGAAAAAAACCGTTCCTGTTATTGAATCGGATGGTGTGGGGGCTTGCCATAGATGTTACCTTAAGTTACAGGCGGGGTAATAGGAACGCCGGGGGAAAAGGGACTTGAAGAGAGTTTGGCACTATCATCACCGCGTCGATATAACAGATGAAAAATAGTTTAAATAGTTTAAACTATTTTTCATAAGAGATGTCGCTACGATGCTCCAAATACAAAAGGCGGAAAAAACAAATTTGGCAGTTGTGTATACATTACAATGACTGTTCCTCTTACCCCATCTTTTGGGGGAAGAGCAACGTTAACACAATTTGTACGTTTTCTGCAAATACATTGTAACTATTGATTTTAACGTAATGATTGTTAAAACATATAAAGCTGATAAATAAACGCAATTTCTGTGTCCTTCTTTGAAATTTTTCCTGAAATTTTTTTTTATAATATCAAGTGACTGCACGAATATGCCGTACGCCTGATAGTAAGCTATACGCCGGTCTAATTCTTATAAGACTATCTGTTCTTCTTAAAGCTCAAAATTTTTGACTCAAAATAAAGTATGTTCCTTTTACCCTACCAAACTATATATTATTTCAACCGATTTTAAAACTTTAGGCTATTGTGTTTCATTTTTTTTTAAATATAAAACTCAAACAATTTGTAGAAGGCCGAAAGTGATAAAAGTATTAATGTAAACCATACTTTCAGGAAAACTTCGAAAGCGTTATTTACATGAAAAGTATAGCCGGAAGTTCATGTGGAAGTCGATATTTCATTCTATTACTTACCATGTATTTTGATTTCTCTGTACAGATATTTATTAAATTAATAATTGCAAGCTTGCTAAATACGCATATTAGTTCGAACTATACTCTGAAATTAATTATCTTTTTAGATTTTTTGTCTTTTTTTCTATTACATTAATCGTATTTAGTGTATACTAACCTCGTTTGTATAAATCTCGAATATAAATCTTTAGGTTTTTTTTTCTTTTCTATTTTATATTAACCATATTTAGTGTTCTATTATCTTTATATACATCTCGGACATAAATCTGCCTTACCGAGATATTTATTTAAATGTATATTTGATGGAAAGTAAAACGAAAATATACATTGATTATTTTGTACACAACTACTGATTTGGTGTTTCTCCTTACATGTGAATAATAAGTAATATATGAGTATATGTTTAATTGTACTTCATTTACACATTTCACTTATGTTGGTATTCAAGAACTTAAAAAATATTAATGATTATTGACCTTAGTTCTATTATTATAATTTATGAATGTTGTTTCGTAATTTACACTTTAAACATTATTGCTATTTTATATTTTCACTTTGCGTTACACATATTTTTAACAGGTACAGATACGCTTTTGGTATATTGTTACTTATGTAGATAACGTTGAGTACGGAGGCATCAGGAAACATATTTACATTATGTAAATAGGGCGCAATGAAAAATAATACGTAAATGCAGTTATTTTGCTTATCCTAAAACTAAATTACACCAATGAGTAGATCATCTTGAAACGGAGCAGCACTTTTACACCACCCTCTAAAAGAAAATGAATCTATGGAAGTATAATAATTACCTCATTATATAGACCTTTTGTTTCCTAATCACTTTATTGCATGATAGTTTCATAGATCGAAAGATGATAGAGCACTAAATATACGTTCAGAAACGTGTATACCACCAGATTTAGTCCGATAATATTGAAAACAATATTTAACGAAAACAAAGCTGAAATGTTGAGGAATAAATTTAAATTTATATTTCTATGACTACCTATAGTCATCGTCTGTTTTTTTTAAGATGGACTAAAATGACAGTTCACTGTTGCCCGCTTGCAAGCAGCTAATTATTGCAGTCGATAAATATTCTGTCGACTGAATTTTGGTTAATAAATCCCCGAACTTGTTAATTATTTGTCTAACTGCTGGGCACATGTACTTTTGGATTGTCAATTTTTCATATATTATATACAGTACATTTAGGACCATATATTAAAAATACAAAGAGGAGACATGCATACTTTGAAGTTTTTTATTTTAATTCAATATAGATAACCATACCCGTATTTCCTTTTTAAAATGTGCATAAAACTTGACACTTGACATAAATTTCGATACTAGTAGGCCAAGTCTCAAAACAGGAATAAAGAAGACAATAACGCAATTAGTAACCATTTGAACATCGTAATATTCACAATATGTTTGGCAAAATGTTGCCTTCTTTCACAATATATCGATAAAAATATCGACAACTACATGCCTATTTAAAATTTTATGAAAACTGGCAATGCCATGCAAATAACATTCAAATCCGTCTTCGAAAAAGACAGACTAATAACTAACTAACTTTTGATAGTAAAGGAACGAAATATATTTTTAGAACAGTAGGTCATTTTCATGAAAATCAAAAATATTTTATAAAACAGAATAATAATTTTGTGTGTTTATACCGCGTATCCCACGGATATGGGACTATGAGTAAAAGTATATTAAATACTGTAAATAGGATATTTTGCTTCATAGAAACATTGTTTTATGTTTCAAAGTAAATATACAATATATATAATATAAATAAATAAGTAATAATACTGCATTCAAAGACTTTTGAAATGGTATTTCTCTCATTTAGGAATGATCCGATTGAATGACAAGAAAACCGTTTTTTATTATGCTAATCGAAAGAGTTTTTAATATATTATATAACGCAACACACTCAATTGAGGTTATCATAGCAAAAGTGGTGTAACTCATATTTCTTTTTTTTTTCTACGTTATTACTTCAAATAGTAAAGTACATATTTATTAAAATATTAATTATAATAAAAAATAAAAAATAATAATATATAGTATTAAAATACATGTGAAAAAAAATATAATTAATTTTTTTATGCATGAAACTACCATCCAAATATAAAATAATTATGTACACATTATTTTTTATTTCATTTTTATTAAAAAAAAAAAAATTAAAAGAAAAGTAACATACTAGGTATATTAACTTAAACGAACATTTATAAAATTTGTTACTTATAATAAATGCAGAAGTACAAATTATTGCTTATAATAAAAAATGAATCAATTTTTCTGTCTCCCCACGATAGTCTAGGAATTTATCATTACCTTCCAACTTTCTTCTTTCTTCACGACCAACCAACCACCAAACCAAACACGCGACCAACTTCCTTTCCAAATTTCGTGAAGCGTCTTCGACGCGTTTTATTGTGACTGGTAGGTAACAAACAGACTTTTATAATATCTGTATGGACAAACCTTAATTATTTCTTTAAGTGAATTTGTAGGAAATTTCTACAAGAAACAGAAATAAATTAACAATAAAAGCTATCCATTACTCTTGTGTTCACGCAGTTTTCACTAGAAGTTGAATGCGGTGGACTTTAAGGCCTTCAAAGTAGATACTTAATTTTGCTTGCAACAAATTATTGCAAGCAGAATTAAGCAGTACTGGAAAGATATTACTTTTATTTCTTTACGTGTAATTACATTTATGTAGGCTAACTGTAGATATACTTTTCGTGGTCTTTGTATTATTCCCGTCATATATTTGTTGGTAGGTTATAATTGACCGTTTCGGTCTGCATCACAAAAATACAGGGTATTTTTTCACATTTGGTCGGTTCATAAGTCTTTAAATGCAATAACTTGCTTTTAAATCTACAACATTTAAAGTACTTTCCCATAGCTGTGAGACGTCCTGTACATATACTAAGAAAATACTTATACAAGACAAAATAGAATCCGAGTGTCGTAAGTGTAACATTTTTTGGCACCGAGCCTGTTTCTTTAACCTAAATTTTATTTGCAGCTATACATAATATTATGCACATTTATTATTATTTAATCTCTCACTTTACTTAACTATCATAAACTGAGCGATGTACTTTTAATACTTCATCATAAGTGAGGATTATAGAAGTCAGAGTTAACAACTTGAAACAGAATAAATGTAAGCATTTGATAAGGTATTCTTAGTGAGTAGATAATTAATTATACTTACTGTACTAACTTTAAGAAATATTTTGTTTCTGTTATGTAACTGTTACTTAGATATCTATCTTATAATTGTAATTTACGATTTCATTATACATTTTACATCATAATATTCCCGGTGAGATACAACTAAGTAAGTAATTAGATTATGTTTTACGATCCAGCATGTACTCCAATGGTATCGTTCGTTTTGTATATTGTTTCGGGTCTAAAAGTATCGCTTAAATGTTGTTTAATTATGTTATCTACCTATCCTTAAACTTATCACTAACACATAGGTACACAATAATGAACGCCCGATTTCAATACTACTTCGAATATCTACATACAAATTTTAATTTGTAAAAAAATATTTTTATAACCATACGTTTGTACAGTTAGTATTAAGTTCATTATAAAGGTAATTTCTTAAACGTACTTTACAAAAAAAAAATATTTTCTTTTTTCATTTACGTATGTGTCAAACAGTTTTATATACTTTCTTTGGTTTACACTAGATCGTCTTCATATTCGTATCACAAATCGTTACATTCAAGTATCGTCGGGGGCACAGTGGGTGGCGGAATGTAATGCAAAGAAGCAACGTCGAAAGCCGTAGCAGAAACCGAGGCCAGTGAAGGTTCGTGTCCAATACGCACAACACGTGGTGGGGGCGGCGCGGGCACCACCTCACACGGTAGCTGGGCACGCTGTTAGCTACCCTTTGTCACCAGATGATACGGTGCGTGAATGGTAGCTACACTGCCAAGCTCAGTGCGTCCAAGCAACTCATCCGGATGTTCATGCTCGTGCTCTCTTCTCTTTTCCTCGTTAGTATAGTAACGAGCGGCGCGCCGGCGCGTGCAACACAACGCTGCAGCCACCGCTGCCACCATCGCTACACACAGTAACATCAACCCCGCTATTACACTCATTTGCGCCTCATGAGTGCTTGGACATGGGTCCAACTTGTCGAAGCTTAATTCGCCGAAACTTACTCCATGCAATCTCATTGGAGAATAACACTTTGCGTGACGTATCGTACCATTCAGCACAGTAGTTGTCATATAAATTAGCATAGTTCCAACGGAACATTGGTCGCAACGCCAGGTGTTCTTTGATAGGTTTATTTGCGCTATCGCTTCCAATCGTTGCAGATCCAATTCATTTAAAGTTTGCAATTTATTGTGTGAAATGTCGAGATTTTGCAAAAATTTTGTCTTTGTCAGCAATTTATATGGAAATTTTGTTAACTTGTTCCAAGATATATCCAAAGCCACCAAATGTTCATTGTAAATGAAGAAATTGGAAGGAATCTCCTCCAAAGATAAATTGGCGAGTCCAACGCCATGTATTTCCGGTAAAATCTGCAGCAGAATAGCAATTTCATTGAGGGGTAAATTATTACCACTGAAATTAATAGTTTTTAATGAATCTACAACTGGAGCGAAAGTTTGTAAATGAAACCTGTCTATTTTGTTGTGACTTATATCCAAGTGCGCGAGGTTCGTTAAATTGGTGAGTGCGGCTGGCGCCAGCAGGGCGAGACGATTGCGTGCTAGGGACAACGCTCGTAGTTCACGGTTCCTTCCAAACATGTTGTCTACGACTACTGACAATTGATTTCCATCCAGTTCTAATTTACGTAATTTTTTAAGACTTATAAATTCGTCTGAGGTTAGGTATTTGAACAGATTTTCTCCTAAATCAAGAGTTTCTAAATGTGACACTAAGTGATATATCTGTGTGTTTACTCTTCGAAGAAGACAGCGTCTACATCTAAACACTCTCAAATGCTGTATGTCCTTGAATACCTCTGGATTTAGATCCTCTAACGGGTTGGTGCTCAAATCTAAATACTGGAGCTTAGCTAACATTCGAAAAAGTCGAGGAACTAATGATGTGATTTCGTTGTCAGCCAAAATTAATGTCCTCAATGAAGTCAAGTGCCTGAAGGTTTCACTTGGCATTTGCTCTATTTTATTGTGGTCAAGATGTAAATCTGTGAGATTTATGAGCCCCCGAAAATTATCAGCTCCTATAGCAGTTAAGTTGTTGTGCGTCAAATTTAAGACTCTTAAGTTTTGAAGGCCCCAAAAGGAATACTGGCCAATAGAAGGAACATTTGAATTGACGATATGAAGTTCACGAAGATAGGCAAAGGGAGTAGGTTGAGTGAATATGGGGCCTATTGTGAGAAAGTTAGGAAATTCCGGGGGTGCAGCGATGACGATAACTTGTGCGCTGCGGTCCAGATAGTCGACTGGCACAGTGTGCATGTTACCGCGCGTGCACTCGACGCGCAGCGCCCTGCCTTCCTCTCGGTCAGGCACCACGCGGCACTGGCACTCTTGCGGGCACGTCACCTCCGCACCCTCGCTGTCTATTGCTAGAAGCATTGCCGCCCATCCCAGCAGTATCATATACCGACCGAGGTTTCTGTAACAAATAAGAAGTCGTTATAACATCTGTATATTCCCGACAAGTCCAAATATATAATTATTAATAAATAAAATACTACTGCTGTAAAACAGAAGTCAAGTTTGCCTTGATATTTCTTTTAAGTATCTTTTTTAACCATGATACACTTTTATTTCAATTAAAAATAAAAAATAAAATCACAGTACAGAGTACTTAAAAAAACGACCTCAAAAGTTCGTTCAATTTTACATCTATTTGCCAAGTTTGATTGAAATCAGTTACCGGAAAATATGCGAAACCGGATTCGTCCCCTAGTTTGCCACCCTTAGGGGTGGAAAACTATATTGTCTTGAAATTTAAATACGATCACTACTGAGGTACCCTCTTTCCAACAAAAAAGAATCATCAAAATCGGTTCACAAATGTCTAATAAGATACGTACAAAAAACAGTCTAATTGAGAACCTCCTCCTTTTTTAAAGTCGGTTAAAAATGATCCTCCTGTTTTAAATACGATTACGGTCAAAGTTTTTTGTCAAATATTTTTGTTATGTGTGTTATGACATACAAATATACGAACCTACCAAACGCTAGCAGTCAGAATAAATCAGGGAGAATTAACGAGCTACACTGAAAAAAACTTGCCTCAATCCTGTGAACTAGGAACGAGATTACAGTCTTGTGAAATATGCGGCTCGCTTTGTCCGGGGGATTCAAACCCCCTGAAAAATAACGCCCAGATAACAAAGGGCTTTTTGACGCGTCGACTAAGCGGCATCCATTTTGTGAAATTCCTAAATATTCATTCACACCCTATGAAAAAGAATTCAATATATGCAACCTAAAGACCCGTGATCTTTATCAGTTTCACGATTCAAAATAGGCAATTGAACGCTCGTACTCAATACTTTAGTGCTATTCAATAACACAGGCAAAACATGTCTGGAACCTATTTAGTAATTAACTTTTACTGACTTAACTATCTATAACGTACATAGTTTTGTTATTAAATCCATCCAGCACGAGGTTTATAGAAAAGTTATTACACAGCGAATGAAAGGAAGATAAATTTTGTAGTAGGTACTGTATAAAGTATAAAAATAAAACTTTAATTTGAAATTCACCATGGGCTTTTCAGTGAAGGAAGAACTTCGGTTGAAGTTGCCCCCAACCCGCACTGGGCGTGCGTGACGGTATATGACCTAAAATACTCGCCTCAGAGGAGATCCGAGTCCAGCAGTGGGACGTACAAATGGGCCGATGATGTATAAAGCAGGTGTAGTAATGTCTCCCCCTATGCGAAACAGGCATCATAACCAGTACACGTACTAATTTAACAACCTGCCCCATCATTTAGACATCAGCCTAAGAGGGGTTTCTTGTACTTGGAAATGATTATTTAATTACGTTGTACTTTCGCTTTTAAATAACCAATGTTATAACCCGAGGGTCTTTGCAGTCACATTACGAAATGCAAATTCTTATTTACAAAAAGAAAATAAAAATGATATGATGTCGTTTATTCTTAAGGTGCCTACTTTGCAAACAAGGCTATAATTACCCAATACACATTATAACATTATATTTGGTTTATATGTTTAGATTACACTTTCCTCGCTAAACTACGTATACGTAGTTTGACTTTATTGTATGTATAGAGGTATACCTCTTGCCATCATAATGTAGTAAGTTAATTCTTGGTGTAATTGGCAGATTGATACGTGATTTAGTTCGTGTATTGACTTATGATATCTGTCGCGATTTGATGCGTGATTTATTTCCCGGTCTTACTTATGGCTTAAGGCGAAGTATTTGCGCGCACTAGATTTTAGGAGGTATAACATGAATAAAATAAGAACAGGCGGAGAAAATTTGACACAGATCCGACGTTGACATGCGCGCGATGGCGACTGACGGGGCAGCGGGCGGCGCAGCGTGTCGTCAAACCATTGGGAAATTTTCAAGTTTTAGTATAAATGTTAATTTAGTAACTAATAGGGCTTCATTTGAAAACCAAAATTTAGCAGGTTCTCTGTAGTATTTAAAGAGAAATATGTCCATATGAAAAAGAAAGTGTCAAAGTTAGATATTTGATTCTTAAATAATTCCTATTAGACTTTTATTTTTGCTTGTTTTCGAGATTTTACATGATCAAGTAAAGTACATCCCATCATGCATCGAATTAGACAATAAACTCAGGTGTATCGTACATTATTTTATAAGACCGTTCTTTAATAGTAAATACCTAAATCATTTGGTCTAGCGAAACAGTTATTTCCGCTTCTCCTCCGACCTTAATTCGCAGCTTTAGTCGCTTTTTGGTGCGTGGTTTGTGAATTTGATTCTCGGTCTCTGTCGAGATTTAAGGTATTGTTTAATTCACGATCCCTATC